TCTTCCACGGAATTTAGAAACTTGACACGGATTCGAACTCTGACTGGGGTCGACGAAAAGCTCTCTACCATTGTCCCCTCTAAAGTGTATACCAGAGAGCGAAAGACAAATGATAGAAAGATATAGGGTAGCTTTTTAAAAATCTTGTCTTTTGTTTATTGCTGACTTTCACTAACACACTGTCTTTCCCGTTGCAAACCACTTCTGTCTACAGAGAAACTTTCCAACTAATGACAAAGCCCATACAGATTAATCACAACGTTTGTCCGGTAACAATGGCTTTCGCCATGGAAGTGACTTTTATTTCTCGCTTGTTTGTTTGTTTGTTTTTTGTTTTTGTTTTTTGTTTTTTTTTGTTTTTTGTTTTATTTGTTTTTGGGGTTTTTTTTGTTTTTGTTTTTTTGGTTTTTGGGTTGTTTTTTGGCGGGGACTTTTATTCAGTTATTTTTTAACGAGGATCTCGGCCCCATTTATATTTCCTTTTGTTTTTAGTTTTTAGTTTTATTTTTTATTTTCTTTGCTTTTTTAAGATTTGTTTTTGTGATTATAAAACGAGTTCGTCCTGGGTATGACAATGAACTACATCCGGCACCAAGGCTTCTGATCAGGAGATTAGAGGTTTACTCTTGTTCCCGGATTAACAATGGTCCTGGGTTGTAGCACCTGTTAGAGCCACAGTTATGGGCCAACCTTAAACCCCCAAACAAAAAACAACTGTAAAAGGTTATAAGATATGCAACAATATATTTTTATAGCAAAATGACTATCAATGAAACAGTAAAATTCTAAAAATACATTTTATAGTAAAATCACCAACAATCTTACAAATTATATATTTTAAAAAAAACTTTTACCCTGAAAATATAAAATTGTGTTAAAAATATCTGCATTAGAAGCCATAAAATTGTGTTCAAAATATGTATATTTCGATATTAAATAGGTCATAGACGTTGAAATACTGCTAAACAAATTTAACCAACGAGCAATACCTATTTATAATAAAATTACTAACAATACATATTTATAGTAAAATTAGTAACAATACCTATTTATAGTAAAATTACCAACAATACCTATTTGAAGCAAAATAATCATCAATACATTTTATCTGTAGTTGAAGCCAAAAAATTGTCTTCAAAATATGTAGATTTCGGCATTAAATAACGCATACAGGTTGATATGCCCCTAAACAAAATCACCCAAACAGCCAATAACAATATATGTACGTACGCATGTGCGTGTGTGAATGTGTATATATATGTATGTGTGCGTGTGTATGTTGGTTATATATATGCAAATGTGGGAACCTCGAGGCGGTGTAATGGTTAGCAAGCTTGTCTCGCTATAACAATTACAAATGAGTCGTGAGTTCGATCCTTACTGGGTGCCCCATACTTTCGGCCTTGTGCCACATCTAAGCTACACTTGGAAAATCACTATATATATATGCAAACGTGAATGAAAGAAAAAATTATTTGTTCATTGTTAGGAGGTTCGCGTTCCGACCATGAGTCACGGATCAGTCGATTTGTCAAGGAGGGTGTCTTCTTCATGTTATCGGCCTGAGGAGACGATTCAAACGTGTGGCATTGTTGGAAATATGCCTAAATAGCATGTAAAGGAATGGAATTGATCAAATAAAACGATTCCATAGCCGTAGATGGTTATGCTAGCAAGAAGTCTCAAGTAATACGTAACTGAGGCTTTGAGCCTTGTTCAACTCTTGATCACGCCAGATTATACGCTCCCTCCCAGAATCTGGGATTAAAGTCCCCTCATTATTGATGTATAATCTGGTGACGCATCCCAGCACATCTGTGTATAATATACTGCTATTCCTATTGAATCCTGCTGTTTCAATTTCATTCGTTTAGAGTAACTTCTTCTTTTGTATGCCGTCTCCATTCAAGACGTAGGTGATCATAGCCGTTTACATCGTCTTGTTCCTTCTTGTTCTTCATAAGTTTTGTCTTTTTGTTATCTCCCCAGACCCTGTTCTGCTATCCACTAAGTATGTTACGCGTTGCTTTTCCCTGTTCAACTTTCCCTCTATCCGCCTTGTGAATATCAGATTTTCCAAGCCCTCCTTCGTCATTAGTGTTCCAGAAATTTAATGCGTCTTTGTCAATCCCAATGCGTCCCAATTTCGCAATTTTCGTCCTCTGTTAGAAGACTTTACAAATATATTTAAATTTATGTACCTGCTTCATTTGTCATATTCCCCGACCTGTAATTTGCATTTTGCCCCCCCCCTTTTGTTGATGACCATGTATATGCCGGTCTTGATACACGAATTTAGTCACTTTCGAATGTAATGTTTTGTTTTAATTTGTTTATATTTTTTTGATTCTTTTCCTAGACTTCGTACCTTTTTACTTAAAAGTTAATATATATATATATATATATATATATATATATATACACGCACATACACAAACACATACGTCCGTACTGACAATGTGTGTATTAATGTAATATTAATTGATTGGGCGGCAGCATTTAATGATGTGTTCTTTTTTGTTTGTTTGTTGGAGAGTAACAAGGGATTATGAAAATGCACAAACATACACAAATACACACATATACATACATGGACGTAAACACACACACACACACACACGTACCCACACACACACACACATATATATATATATATATATATATATATATATTCAAGTATAAGATTGATGTAGAAGGAATAAAATTCCATTAACGAAAAACACTATTGTTAAAAGAGTGCTCAATGCAGAGTAGATCAAATATTATTTATTCTAAAAGTATAATATAAACTTGTTATAACATCCCTACAAAATGGCTATTTTTGTAGAGATGTTATAACATGTTTATGTTATAATTTAGCCATTTTCAAGGATGAAATATTTTAACAGTTAAAATATTTCACCCGTGAAAATGGTTAAATGTATAGCCGAAAGCGCGCGGATAAAAAGAACATTCGGACAGTTTTTATATGATTTATCATCTGAAAAGAAAGAAAGATATTAGATCACATGAAAAATTGTCTGAAAAAAACTATATCAAAATACCTTGTCTGTCGTATTCAATGAAAAGTTCATGAAAGTAGGATTGCTGCCTAAATACACAAATTTCATATATATATATATATATATATATATATATATATATATATATATATATATATATATATATATATATATATATGGTTAACGATAATTTCTGTGTTTACTTGTAGGTGAGTATGTGTGGGCTTACGGCCATTTAACGTTTAAACACTGGTTTTCTTCAGATCACCGAAGTTAAGCAACTTCGAATCTGGTCAGTACTAGGCTTGGGGATCGAGGCCCATGAGATCAATGCAATATATATATATATGCTCATGGGTGACCAGGCTCGATGTTGCTTAACTTCTCACGAAAACAGTTTTTCAGCGTGAAATGGCCGTAACACCACATATTTTTACCTACAATTAAACATATAAATTGTTGTTAATACGATATATATATATATGTGTGTGTGTGTGTGTGTGTGTGTGTGTGTGTGTGTGTGTGTGTGTGTGTGTTAACAATTGGTCACCCACACGCGGACATACATATTGAAATACTGGTTCTCGTCAGAAGTTAAGCAACATCGAGCCTGGTCAGTACTTAGATTGGTAACCACTTCAGGATTCCAGGTACTGTAGGCTTGAATGTGCGATGTGTGGCTGGTGTAATCGATGACGGATCAGATAAATCGGTGAGTAAATTTCAAATTCCAGTCGGGCTCGTTACATTATGAATCGTCCAGGCGTGTCACATCCACGCCTACCAACATGTATTAGGCCAGGGTGGTATAGTTATGGCCTATTCCTTCCCGTGATCTGGGGAGTGCTAATGTCCAACAAAGAACCTTCACAGGCAGAGTAGAGACAGAGAATGTGTGTGTATGCTTTAACGTTCCTATAGAATTTCTAAGTATATATTTACATGTTTTCATTCTGTGTTTCTTTTTTAGATATTCAAATCATTTGTTTGTTTTCTTTTTTTATTATTATTTAACTTTATTTATGTATACTTTTCATTTGACCGCTTAATTTTTCACTTTATTCATTCATTTTTCTTTTTTTCCTTTCGTCTTTGTTCGTTCAAGAAGCTCGATAATATCTATGCAGGTCTCTCATTCTTCTGAAAATTTGACGTCTCCATTATCTGAACTAATTAGAGACCTTTCATGGTTACCTCGATCGGCTGGCGGTTTCTTCAACACGCCAAAAAGTCCTTGAGAGAATGTGAAGATTATGAAGAGAATTTGACTGTAGTGAAGAGTAATAAGGGTGTCAAACTGAAACGAAAAGTGAGGGAAAAGAGAAAGAAAAATACAGTGTAGAAGAAGGAGGAGTGAAAATAAGATTGGATAAAAAGTAAGTAGGAGGAGGAAGATAAAAAAAAGAATTAGAGTGAGAGTTACAAGGAGGGAAGGAAAATCTCAGAATAAAAAAAATGAAACATAACAACTAATAAAAATATAATGAAAGAAGGAAGAAAGGAGATAAAATGGTACACGAGAAAGAAAGAAAATGAAAAAATCGAGAAAACAAGGAGATACAAACATTAAATACAGAAAGAACGACAGAAAGAAAGAAAAAATCGAATAAAGCAAAAAAGAAAGAAACACAAAAAGTAAAGAAAGAAACAAAGAAAAGCTAATAGAACAAAGAAACAGAAATAAACATAAAAACAGAAAAAAAAATTGTATATGGAAAAAAGAAAGAAAGAAAGAAAAAAAGAAAAAGAGGAAAAATAGAGATAAAGGAATAAAAAAAACTGGGTAAAGCTAAAAAGAGCACAAAGAAAGAAAAAAGAAAGAAAAAAGAAAGAAAGAACAAAAAGAAAAAAAGGAATAATAGACATAAAAGATTAAAAAAACTGGGTAAAGCTAAAAAGAGCACAAAGAAAGAAAGAAAGAAAAAAAGAAAGAAAGAAAGAAAGAACAAAAAGCAAAAGAGGAAAAATAGCGATAAAAGAACAAACAAATGGGTAAGGCTAAAAAAAGCAAAAGAAAGAAAGAAAGAAAGAAAGAAAGAAAAAGAGGAAAAATTGAGATAAAAGAACAAAAAAAATGGTAAAGCTAAAAAAAAGCAAAAGAAAGAAAGAAAGAAAGAAAGAAAGACAGAAAGGGAAAATAGAAATAAAAGAAACAAAGAAAAAATTGGGTAAAGTTAAAAAAAAAAAGCAGAAACAAGAAAGAAAGAAAGAAAGAAAGAAAGAAAATTTTAAGAAGATGTTAAGAAAGAAATAAAGAAATTTAAATGAGTTATAAAATGTCGAAAAGACGAAAAACAAAACATTTTGGCAGTGAGTAAAAATTAACAACTATAGATAATTAGAGTAAAAAAGGAAAAGAGAAAAATAGGGAAAAAAGAAACAAAGAAAAAATTGAGTAAAGCAAAAAGAAAGAAAGAAAGAAAGAAAGAAAGAAAGAAAGAAAGAAAAAGAAAATCATAGCCAAAATAAAAAAAAATAAAATTAGTTGCATAAGAAGAAAGAAAGAAATAGCAAATAAGTACAAAATAAATCAACAACAAATATTAAAATAAGAAAAAAATAATATATCGGAGCAAAAGTAAAACCAAAAGAAAGAAAAAGCGTAATAGTAATAGTTTTGTTTTTTTTTAAAAAGATTTTACAAAACAGTTTTTAAAAAAGTAAAAGAACGTGTGTCCTTTGAGATCACACGCTGTCAAATCCAAGCCAAGTTTATTGAAGGCTTTAAAACTCAGTTTATTGTGCGTCCGTCTCTTTGTTTGTCTCTCTATCAGTCTGTCTATTGGTCGAGAGATAAATGGCAAAAAGTTTTAGCAACGTATTCCTTTCATCTTTATGTTCTTTTTCTTTCCTTTTTTTTCCTGTTAAACAGCCGCAAATACTTTCTGCTCCATTCAAAAAAGCAGCACATGCCTTCATCCAGTCTCACAGATACAAAGTAAATAAGTCAATCTTTCAAACATCCAAGCACATATACACACTGAACTGTATATCCATTAGTTTAGATACACGAATACATCAATCTGGGATGGAGCTACTCAATCCTCACTTGCCAGCCTTCAGATCGTGCAAATTCGTATTTGCGGACTTGTGGGAGAAGGTTTCTTTTCCACCCTGAAACATATTTCACGCAGATGAAAACGTTCCCATCCTGTTGCTAGGCTATCGCTATTTCCAAAACAAACGTTCAAATGTGTTCCATTCTTAACTACCACAAAGACCTTTACGCCTACGATACACCATGTCACTTGCCAAGGATTCGAATCAAGATCATTACCTCGGTGTGATAAATTTGAATGAGAAAGTTCCTTCAAAAAGGATTTTCTTCCACCACGTCGAACCGTTACACCAACGATACGCCATATCACTTCCAAGGAGACGCATAAACCTCATATCCCCCGTGTTCCAAATGTAAATAGGAAAGTTCCATCAAACAGGTTTTCTTTTTACACCAAGTCAGTCCATTAAACCTACGAAACACCATGCCACTTCCAAGGAATTGGATCATCCTCATTTCCACAATGTTAATAAGAAATTCCTTCAAATTTTTTTTTCTTGCACCAAGACAGACTTTTACACCTGCGATACACCATGCCACCTCCAAGGAGTAGCCTCATCCACATTTCCTCTGTGTTGCAAATGTTAATGAAATATTTCCTTCAAATATGTTCTTCTTCCAAAAAGTCACAGCTTTAGACGTACAATACACCATGTGACTTCAATGAAGTTGCATCATTTTCATATTCTCCGAGTTCAAAGTTTTTCTTCCACCATGTCAGATCTTTGCATCTACGACACACCATGCCATTTCCAAGGAGTTGTATCATCCGTGTTCCAAATTTTAATAAGAAAGATGTCCATCAAGCCAGACCATCTACGATACACCATGCCACTTCCAAGGATTCGATTCATCTTCATTTCCACTGTATTCCAACTGTTAATAAGAAAGTTCCTTCGTTCGTGTTTTACTTCCACCATGTCAGACATTACACCTGCGAGAGAGAATCCCACTTCAATGGAGTTGCATCATCCTAGTTTACCTTCGTGTTCCAAATGTTAATAACAAAGTAAATTCAAACAGGCTTTTTTCTTGCACCAAATCAGACATTTACATCTACGATACACTGTGCCATTTCCAAGGAGTCGCATCATTCTCATTTCCCCCGTGTTACGAATGTTAATAAGAAAGTTCCTTCAAGAAAGGTTTGTTTTTTTCACCAAGTTACACCTACGATACACCATGCCATTTCCCAGGAGTTGCATCATTCTCATTTCCCCCGTGTTCCAAATGTTAATAAGAATGTCCCTTCAAATAAGTCTTTTTTTTCACCAAGTTACACCTACAATACGCTATGCCATTTCCCATGAGTTGCATCAGCCTCATTTTCCTCGGGTTCTCTATGTTAATAAGAAAGTTCCTCCAAACATGTTATTCTCAACCAAGTCCGACTGTTAAACCTACGATACAACATGCCACCTCCATGGAGTCACATTATCCTCATTTCCCCAGTGTTATAAATGTTAATAAAGTTCTTCAAACAGGTTTTTCTTCCACCAAGTCAGACAGTTATACCTACGATGTACCATGCCACTTCCAAGGAGTCGCATCATCCTCATTTCTTCCGTGTTCTAAATGTTAATAAGAAAGTTCTTTCAAATTTTGATATTGTTATTAAATTAAATCTGTATTTACTAATCATAATGAAAAGTCTCATTACAATTCAACAACAAGTAGCATTTCAAAAAGAATTTTGAATATTTTTGGGATGCATAAAGGTGTCGATCTTTGTAAATACGGACATCTATACACGACAGTATTAGAAAATAGGAGAGACACTTAGAGTAAATATAACATTTATTGGCAATTTTCTAACTTACAAGCGTCTTCGTTATTAAGACTATAAAGTCAAATATCTAAAATTCGTAAAGACTATAAAGTCAAATATCTAAAATTCGTAAAGACTATAAAGTCAAATATCTAAAATTCGTAAAGACTATAAAATCAAGTATCTAAAATTCAATAAAATATTAGAATACTAAAATGTTTTGCCTTTTTATGATCACCGAGTACTTAAAAATAAAATATAAAAAGAGCTTTCATGTTGTATACATCATCTAATTATGTTTTCAGCTATGCACCACTTAAATTACCCTTACCCTTATATTTTAATATTTGAAATTTATTTAGATTTTTGTTTGATTTCATAGTTAAAGTTTAACGTTAGGTGACTTCTGAAGTGTTTAATTATTTAAAAAAAATTGTCAATATTTTACTATTAATATTGATAATTAAAGAGTGGTATATTTAAATTTAAGTTATCAATTTAAAATGAAAATACCTCCAGAAGATAAATATACACTGTCATCATTCTAATTATAGAACATTAAACGAGAAAGTGATATTAAATATTAAAAAGAGTCATTTTAAAACAACATTAGAATGACCCATGTCCTTCCATTTGAATACATTCCATACACACACACACACACACAGACACACACACAGACACACACACACATACATACATACATACATATATATATATATCTTGCTTTATCGTACTTATTAATTGCAGAAAATGTTTCTAATGATGCTTTTTGGAATTAGACATTGAACAGATACTTTACTGATTCTTACTAAAATTGACCCGATTTTTACATTTCCTGCAATGTTCCACTTCGGCAATTAACAGGTCACCACTCAGTTCTGTTTCCCATTACGTCAACAAATTTTTTGTGTACACACAAATACAGATTCCATGGAAATTACAGCTGTTTAAATATTCCGAGCAGAATGCGCTCTAAGATAAACTCCCCCAGCTTGTCTATAGAGTTAGAGATTTTTAACTTCCTCCAAATGCAAACAGAATATAAACAGAGCGTGAAATGACAATTGCTGAAGTAAAGTCAAGCATTTAAAATCATATTTCGTGTAAATATCTTGTATATTTGACTAAAACTGCGTTTAACTCATACCTTCAGTTTAAACTGATATTTTTCCAGAGAAGAACTGAAAGAAAGTGAAAATCTTAAAATGATCTGGACTTTGCGAGAGAACTGAAAAACATATGGATTGTATCCATTATTAGTGGCGAGCTTGAAAGAACCTTTCCAAAGTGTTTGAAAGAGAAAAGGTCGACGGAGCATTTAAGCTTTCCAGGTTGCATTAACAAAATCAATCAATATAGAAAATGGAACCGAAAATAAACGATAAATGCCAAAATTTAATCGTAGAATACGAAAAGAGAAATACAGATAATAATGGCTGAAAAAGAAAGAAGTGTAAACGAAAAAAGATGAAGAGAATGAAAAAGTAAAGGAAAAAATAAAATAGAATTAAGAAAAGGAGGAAAATATTGACAAATGTAGCCATGAAAATGAAAGAAGGAAAGAGAAAAGAGCATAACGATAAAGAACACTGGAACAATTCCAACTTCTTATCTCATAATAATCCTATGAGACAAGAGAATTAAAATATTGAGACAAATAAAAAGTGAACCAAAACAAAAGATTAGTTATTATACATTTATTTGGTCTGAGTCCTGTAAAACCTACACCTATATTTGGCCGATTCCACATAGGTATTTAACGCATATCCTACTGGATATCTCTTTAAACAGATATTTTTTTTCCATATATATGGACAATAATTATAAACTATAATTTTGGGAAGGGTGTATTTCACTGAAAATTTTATTAATCTTTGTTTTTGCTTTACTCCTTTAGTTCTTTCTGTATATATTTCTTTATTTAATTGTTGTATTCTTTTGTTTTCTTGCACTTGGATTCTTTTTCTTTAATATTCGTGTTTCATTTCGTCCTCCATTTTCCTTCTTTCACAGCTTTTTTTTTTGTCTATTTGCTTGTTTTATTTCTTCTTTTTTTCCATTGATATATCTATGTTCACGATTCTTTCCTTTTGTTTCATTTTCCTTCCTTCTTCCCTTTAATCAAACCACAGACGTTTACATACAGTATGCGCCACACATACAGTGTATATATTTAGCAATCCGTAAAGTGAAGACGACACGCACGAAATTTGAACACTCCCATTTCTTTTCCAGCGGTATCAATTTAAAGACCATTTAAAGAATAGCTTCCGACCCGAACATGAAAAATACATTGTGGTCGTGGCATGAGATATCAAAAACATCGGCTCAGAGATAACGTGCTTATTGAAAGAGATGGGGCAACAAGTGGGTTTGCGCAGAGCCCACATAGGCACTCATACTGATGCATACCAAGTTTACATTACCCATGAAGGTCCTGGGAGCCGTGAGCAACGAGAGCTATATGATGTCGTCTCACTACTTCCCACAGGCCCTCAAAATCAATACCACCCCATATCATGATGCTGGGTACGGTGGTCAAGTTCTAGTTCAAGTAAGTCATCCTATGTGTTCTAACAGGACTCCCTAACGTGTGGATCTAGCTTCGATTATTTGAATTATCTGCATTACTATGTCTAGGGCGTCGTCGAGAGGAGATTAAATACTGGCCATACTCTAGAAAAGAATCGTTGAAAAACCTGGCTATAGACGCCGTGGACATCGTAATAGATAACCGTTCGATCTTGAAATGCGTCCGCTTCCAAAGCCGTTCTTGAAGCTAAGAATATTTCTACTGAATAACATTTTTCTATTTTTTTAAATTAATCTATGTACAGTTTTTAAGCCTTAGATTTAATTTTGGATCAGTGGACAACATCAATTCAATACAGTTATTATTCATGATTCGAATATAAATGACTAATTGGTAATTCTAGGATTTCTGTTACTTTTTACGTTGTCTCATAGAGTCTTTGCTTACAAATAAAGATGGAACAAAGAGCCAAAGAGAGTGCTATGCTTGTATGCATAATTCTCAAAGGGATGAGGTGACGACTTGCTACAAAGCATGCTCATCTCTATTGGGCATTGAATGTTTCAAAGAGTACTATTAATTTTGAAATTTGTTTTATTTTCCTTTTATTCATTTGTTTTATAATCTAAAGACTTAAAATATTTTCATAGTTTTTGTACTGGGTTGTTCAGTTCTTTGAGGGCATTTTCATGAATCTATAGGTACATTTCTCTGACTTCTGTTACTCCGTCCGTCACACTCTCTAAAATAACCATACATTGATCGATCGAAACGAAATTTTATGAAGAGCAAATGGGTAAGGAGGTAAAACGTACAGTTGGTTTTTACCAGGGTGCGTGGCTTAGTACCATAAATTTTCATTCATTTTTTTTTTTGAAAGGTTAAGTTTTATTATTTGACATACACAATACTCCCACTATTTCAAAAACTAATTATGATTAAAATAATAATTACTTATTTAATAAAATGCAATATTGTTTTTTTATATATCTTTTCTTTAAGTTTATATATATATATATATATATTTAATTCTGGTAAAATATAATGAACAGTAGTAACACTGTATATATAGACACAATAGGGAGTCTGTAACCTTCAACAAAAATGTTAGCGATAACTTCAACAATACTAAATATTGTGATGATTTCAAAACGCTGATGCATGTTGCAGAAAATTCATTTTTAATAAAAGACATATGTCATGAAAGAAGAGATCTATTTGAGAAAATGGCGGGAAGATTCTTCAGACTCTGCATGAATCTGCATTTAGTATGGATAAGTGCTTCAATGTGAAGTTTGAAACATTGACATGCTGTTGTAATCTAGAAAGGGTTACTGAATGAGGAATAACCAAAACGGAGGTTGGAAATGAAATGGTAATCTTTAAAACAACAACAAAATACAATACTCAACAGCAGTGGGAAATAGGTAGACCACTGCTGGTGGTGGACTACTTAGACAGCATGTTTCCCCACTTACAATAGTGTCCAACGTATTTATGAGGATTGGGACATACCCATTAGTGCTCATATGTATGGATCTATAGCACATGCCCGAACCAGACGACCTCTAACCATTTTGGACATTATGATAGTTATGTCGGACATCAGGGATTTTATAGTGTTATGGGGGGCATTAAATGACTTCCCTCTTGACTACGCCCCATACAAACGGATTTAGGCATGGAGAGCTAGAAGGATCTATGTTTGGGATGACGTGATAGCAGAGATTGTAACTCATCCATACTTGTGTCCTCGTGACCTTACGAGACGCCACAGTCTTGTAGGTAGGTATATATTCTTCATATGCTCACACTTTCTATCGAAGAGCTCACGACCATCTCGAAAACCCCCTTATAGCTGTCAGCCTTTACTCTTAATACCTGAGAAAAAAAATGAGTCGGCATGACAGCTCTTTAGTTGCTTACAACTCCCAGAACCATCACAGTTGCCGAAAACTTTGTTTACATGGCCGTTGGAACGTTTTTAGGGTCTTTGAATAACCATCTATCAGTCATTCGATTACCCTTTTGGTCCTGATCAATTTTTGCTTTGATCAAATGTTTATCTTTTGTTTTTGCAGGCATTAATTGGCCTCTCTGCATCACACATGATTTGTAACGATGGTTTTCATTCATATTTTCTCCGACAGAGTACCTTGAAACCATTAACTTTACAGCAAAACCTTTAATTGGCTTTCTGGGATTGTCATCGATAATTTTCTGTAACTTTCATGCAAACATTGGTGTTCTGGTGGTATTAAGGCGATTAGCATGTTTTTTTTTCGTCTTGCTACTGCTGTAGAATCTCCGTGAAAAGCTTCTAGATTTTGGCGAACTTCACAACAAAAGACTGTGGAAAGCGAACACACATACACACACACACACACACGTGTGTGTGTGTATGTATAAATATATATATACAAGGTGCGATGGGTAAATTGTCGCCGTTTTATATTCTTAATTTCGCGCATGTGCGTTGTTCGTTTGTTTTATTATTTTGTCGACTGCGGATAATTGGGGACCGTCTTTGAAATAGAGAACACCATGACGCAATTCTCTCAGCCAGAAATTTGGAAACGACATGCTGTACTGCTTAACATTCGCACCGGAAGCTCTAATACGAACATTTTAGAGTCTTCGGGTATCAATATGAGGACGGTGCAGAGGATTCCAAAAGAGTTGGGTGGTCTAATTGTGTTTGGAGTGATCACTAGTAATGGCGACGTTATGTTTCCATTTATCTTCCCACAGGGCCTCAAACTCAACACGAAGGCCTACATTAAGTGCCTTAGGGAGATAGTGTTACTCTGGGTCAAGAGGGTAGCTGTTTGATGACCCTATATATCTGGGAACAGGACTCTGCACTATGCCACTTAGCAGGAGAACCCAGTCATGGCTGTCAGACAATTTCTGCGACCACATTACGCCTTACATCTGTCCATATAGCTCCCGAGATTGTAAACTCCTTGATTATTGTGTGGGTGGCGCAGTTGAGCGAGTGACCAACATAACTTCTTGTAACATCATTATGATACCATTCACTAACTTAAACAAGGATATCGTCCAGAAGAGGTGCAGGAGATTCCGAAGTCATCTGGAGGCCGTGGTTAAAACCAATGGCGAGTTTATTGAATAAATTTACTCATTAGTATTTCAAGATATGTTTTGTGTAATTTTTGAAAATATATCTGTTAAAATGAGATATCAATGTTATGTTTATTTTTGCGTAATTTAGACGACAATTTATCCATCGCACACTGTATAGATAGATAGATAGATAGATAGATAGATAGATAGATAGATAGATATGGGCAATTATCCTTGTTTTATTCATGACGGACAAGGACAATTTTGTGTTATTTTTCTCAGTTTTCTGTTGCACTCAAAACAGTAATCACAACGGATAATTTGACACACTCTTTGTTTTCATAGAATTAAAACTGTATGCACGCTGGAAAAACTGAATAAAAACCTATTAAATATTCCTTCTAAACAAGAACAATTTTAAGTGTATTTTTTTCTTTTCAGTTTTCTTTACAGTCTTTCTTTTACGTGGACTAAGAGATCTACATTGAACATTAGTTGCTTTGAGAACAATCAATGACTCTTGACTGTGTTTTAAATATGAAATAAAAAACTCCAATATGAATTAAATTACCTGTACTCCCACATTATAGAAAATGAAAATAAATTATATTAACAATGAAAATTAAGCCTAACCTTAAATTAGTGAAAGCGCTCAAAACAATAATCACTAAACACATTTCTTCGTCATTAAAGGAAAACTGTATGGATACTGAAAAACTGAATAAAAAATATATTCCTTCCTCGTCAACATCAGATACACGTTATTATTAGGATGTTACATAAATTCGTTCATTTTTGGGGTGCAGCTTTAGCTTTGTTCTGAGTATTGACTGCTTGTTGGAACTTAACTATTCTTTTCTCTGCTTCAAATTCACGTAAAGACGCCATTTTTAGCCCTCGGTGACAATACGGCAAATGAAGCTTTGTTTGTACCCTCGAGTAGCATCGTGTCGAGCGAAGCAATGGAGGAGCGCTAGAGTTTGTTTCTCTCGGTCAATTCATGTACCACTCATGAGCCAAGTTTCTGGTCCCATTGAGCGACAGTAACGAGAGTTTGCCATCTTCTGGGCATTTTCCCTCGTAGCCTGGCACGGTTCTTCTTTAGTCAGCGCGGGAAATTGGTTTTCATCAAACTGAACAGTCGTCGGTCAGAACGCTGAGAGTTCAAACATTTACTCCTTGAAACTGGAAAACCATTCCTGTGCCATTCCGTCAGTAATCTCTGAACACGGCACAAATGTCTCGAGCCTACAGTCCACCTTTTCTCAGTTATCAGTTCTTAAGAAAAGTGTAACCTCCACCATTATAATCAATTCATGTGTGAATGTAATCTACCGATTTCGTTTTACCTGAACTAATAGGCTGATTTACGTCGAGAAAGTCCACTACTATACACACACACACACACACACACACACATATATATATATATATATATATATATATATATTATAAATTAATATTAAATTTACATTGAGCACTATTTTGTAAAAAAATAAAATTATCAAGAACACCTGATTACATATTTTACTTTCTTTTTATTTCAATATATATATATATATATATATATATATATATATATGGAGAAGAGATGGATTCATATTTTTCCTAGTGGTATTTGCACGTGAGTGAATATAACTCGACTCGAATTCGAACTCGGCTTTCTTATTTCTCAACCCGAACCGCTATCCATTGCACCACCGAGCACCCATATCTTGTAAGTGAAATAGCATAACAGGCTAAGCCCTATAGCCTTGATTGGCAAATAGTCTAAGAGGAAGACAACTTCGAATTCAAAACCTGAGGAGGCGTCGTTTGGAGGCCTTGTATGTACGGACAATCTGACTTCAGTTCTAGGAACTGAGTTACGAAAAACGAAGTGCTTCTGCTATATATTTAAATAAGATATAAAGAAGAATCTGTAATGTTATTTGTCCTGACCTGGCATCTCAGCTTCAGTCACTTTCCCACTGTAGCTCCTCCCTGCTTTTTGACTCTTCATGATTTTAACTGCAGTACTAGATTGGCGGGAAGTTCTTATCATTTTACGCTAACAATTCTATGCTAAAAGTTTCCTCTCTTGCACTTCTCACTTATGGAATTCTCGTCTAGCTTTTTGCTTTCCAGTCAAATTTGATCTTGAATAATGTACAGGCAATGTCCATCGTTATCTTCCGCCTTCTTAAGTCCTGTTCTTTCATTGCTCGCTCTCTCGCTCGCTCTCTCTCTCTCTCTCTTCCCCCCACTTAATAATGTTTTCTTTTTCTCATATTATCTCACACTCAGTGACTCTTTGCGTCTAAGTGGCTTTATTGCCTTGCTTGGGGTGAAATGATTAGAAAACAATTTATCCTAATAATTACTACAGTACCCCCAAATATACGAATTGTGACATATACATATCGACTTAATTTATAACGTCAGTTTCTACGATTCACCCACGCAAACTCGCATATGCCTTGTGAATTCTAACATTTTATATTTTCTATGTTACAACACCCACATATTTACAGATGGCGTCTCTAAATCTAATTCATATCAGTTAATTATGTATTCATGGTGACGTCCATTTTAGAGCAATCTCATCCTAATGAACACTGCATCAGATATTTTCTACGTTATAATCAATTTTTATGGTTCATAATAGTTTCGCTTGACAAAATTCCTAAATCGCTCACCATCAGAAGACATTATAAATGGTAGTCGAAGTCAGAGAAATGATAGCATCATTAATAGTAGCTTTGATAATAGTTGCAGAAGACAAATATTATTGTCGGAAATAAATTGCTAACATCTAAAAACATCTTGTATATCCTTATTTGGTGTTTGTCCCAGTAGTGCAACGAAATTGTGACCTTTACTGTGACCTCTGAATTTTTTTTTTTTTTTTGAAAATCAGAGTTTTTATATAGCACTTGTATAATGCGACCCTTGAACAATACTAGTGGGCCTACTGTAGTCAAACATTGAAGTCCTGGACATCATCCTGGGCATATTTTATAGAGAATAATTGGTTTAGGTTAACCAAATGTACCGTAAAAATATAGGCAGACCAGGTGGATGAAAAAAAAATAACTGATGCAACCGGTTACCGAAAATGCATGCTTTTTAACCTCTTCAAAAAGTTACCTGTGTATAGTGACACATCCTATTTTTTGCGAAATAAAAAACTCAAGTATATATATTGGATTTTAAAATTAAATACACATAAACTAGGCTTGAATAGGAACTTGGATGTTTTAAATCTTTATAAATATTTCAATAGTTAAGCAATTTTTTTAGATATAATTAAAAAAATTTTTTAAACAACATTTAAAATATTTATGACAGTTAGATTTAAGTTAGGAATATCCAATCAGTGACGTTCCATATCACGTGACGTCCGCGTCTCGCGAAGGACGCTACTTGCTAACAAACAGTAATTTTAATTTATTTGTAACAAGCAGTTATTTCTGATGAAAGATTGGGGACAATTTGAAATATCAAATATATATATATATATAAATAAATACTTTCATAAAATAAAACATTATTATTTTTTAATTTGAAACTTTTTATATATATATATATATATATAGGTTTTACCAGTTTGTGACTGGAAGGGATAATTCCGAGGAGGGTGTAACTCCAGGGAGAGCTCAATGTAGACTACAGAGCATGAAAATGATAATGAGAAGACTGTCCTATCCAGGTTTCCAAACTAAAACATTTTATAACATTTCCATAATCCATAGTTTCTTCCTTAAGTTTGATATTTGTTTTTGAATGTTTATTCGTCTTTTTTTCTCTAAAGCTAATGCTGTATCCACCTATTGTATCTGACAATATCAAAGTGATTCCTGTTGTTAACTGCAACAGTGATTACTACTAACAGTCAACCCACTGTATAAACCTATTTACATAGTTTCAAAAGTTAAGAAATATCTAGACAGGTCAGGTTGCTAAGTAACCACTAACCCACCGTTTCCTTCTCACCCTCTTCTTCTCTAAGCCTCCCACTCCTCTACATCTCCCTCTAATATTCCTCTCATTTCGACGTCTCTACTAACCATTAGACATTCCCTAAGTTTGATATTTGTTTTTTGAATGTCTATCATTTCTCCACAGCCAATTAATGCATCCATCTATTGTATCTGACATGTTATTGTGATTTCTAATTATTATTTGTACTAGTGACCTCCTCATAAGAATCAACCCACGGTATAAACCCATTCACATATTTCCAAAAATTAAGAAGTATCTAAGCAGGGTAGGCTGCTAAAACTACCACTACCCCGCCTCTCTTCTCTCACCTTCCCCAAATTCTTGATAGCAAACCGACCACTACTAAACCCCAATCTCTAAGCCCTATCTTTACCCAACCTCTTTCTCTCACCTTCCCTCCCCACCTCCAAGCTGAAGTATCCGTCGGGTGTAGTTTCTCCATTCGTGTAGCAGGTTGTCGTTCATAACCAACTTGCGATTTATACTGCAACTATGCTGAGCAGACGTTAGTTACAGTTTCTGGGAGAGAGTGTGTTATCTAGAATGATCAACAATCTGAACAACACCAGCACACTCAACCCCTCGGTCACGATGACTTGTGACTTCGACTTGTGACTCAAGTGTTCCGTCTCCCCAATTTCACTCAAAAGTCTTGGGTCAACCCGTGGTATGGTTTTCAGGCGCTTTCCAAAAGTGCCGCACGCTGGGATTCCCCCCCCCCTCACTCCAGACCGATAACATCAGGAAGTCTACTTCCTGACAAATCGCCCATGGTGAGAATCTGGGTCTCATGATCAGAAACCAAACATTCTAACCACTCGGCCACTACAAAGTCCAAGAGCCACTCAAGGTAGAAGATTATTTTGAATTTAAATGAAATTTGCTAGATTGTATGGCCAAAACACATAGGAAAAGACATTTTTCTAAATTTAAAATTCCTCGTTTATGCGCATGTGCAGTTGCATTGTTACCAGCAATACTTTTTTTTGAAAAAACATATTACAAACAATATATTTTTGAAAAAAAGAATGTACCAGCAATACATTTTTACGAAAAAATCTAACTAGCTATAAATTTTTGGAAAAAAAAAATTGCTAGCAATGCGTTTTTGAAGAAAAAATATTACCAGTGATACATTTTGAAGAAAGATATTACCAGCAATACTTTTTTGAAGGAAAAAATATTACCAGTAATACATTTTTGGAAAAAATATTACCAGCAATACATTTGTGAAAAAAATATTAGCAGCAATAAAAATGTAGTCGGCTTTAAATAACCCACTATAGTTGATATGACGTAAAACGAACCAAACAAAAATTTTAGTGTTGTGATTTGCGCCATGGTGTTTCTTTTCTCACTGACAGTTCACAACTGACGGTACTATACTGTGCAGTTGACAAAAACCACTACCCCGCCTCTCTTCTCTCACACGCAGGCGGGTAATTAAAAAAAAAAAACACTCTTATTTCCTTGATATTCCATTGGCAAGATGCAAGTAACCCTTGAGCAGTTTCTTTCCAGAAACTACTACTTTGTGGAACCGACTCCCAAGATTATGCTTTCCCACCAATCGGTTAAGCATTATCTTCCCCACATATCCGAATAAATTATGCCTCTTACTCTGTAACCCTCTACTTTAAGTTGTTCCATGAACCCTTTGTACAAAGTGAACATCTCTGTAATATATATATATATATATATATATATATATATATATATATATATCCGATGAGAACGAAAGTAATATATAAATTCTAACATTCATAGCATTAATCCAAAAGAGGGCTCGATAACGATAGTAGAGCGATAATTATTAATTACTTGTAAGCATACTAAGGATCTAACTGTACAAACTTGTTAAATTCTTAATTCTTAATTCCATAAATATAAACGTTTTAAAATTATAAATCACCTCCTTTGATATATTCCCTACCCTCCTACGTATCTTTCCACTAATTAAATTATGATTCTTAATTATTTTTTTTTCATATATATTACTGGCAATATTTTCAAATAAATTGTTTTACACCCATACTTATTCTACACGCTATACAGTCCAGGAATAGGTCAAAATTTGATTATAAAAGGTTATATTAGTATCCCTTATTTTTTTAGAAGAAATCACCACTTCTACATTTATTAATCCACAAAACACTTTCATTGATTACAGAATTAGTAGTGATAACCCCAACATAAATACATGCAATTCAGCTCTAGAATTTTTATAGTAAACCAAAAATAATATTCCCAATTACTACTAAAACTAGAATCTTACCTACTCCAACATAATACTATCCCCTATTTCCACCTTTCCTTCTCTATCTCTCACTTTTAGGACGCTTGTGCCTAAACTTTTGACCGGTGTTTATCAGCAAAAACATTCTCCAGAGACCAGTCAACATTAAACACCCAATCCATTCTTCACCAAACTGCTATCAACAAGTAACATTGTTTCACTCCGTCACCTTTTGCTTTATGTATAGTTTTTTTTCTCAAACAAATGGAAAAAAGGAAGTGACGTTTCACATACAGCTTGCCTACTAGCAGGATTGTTCATAACTATTTTCGATCCTCACCCGTCGAAGTGCAGTTGAAATGCACCGAAACGAAGTTGCATCTTTGTACTGAGTAAAATGGTTTTGTCTATAGGATGAAATTATAATAAATAAATATATATATCTATGTGTGTGTGTGTGTTTAGGTAGCATATTTTCATTCAAGCATGTTTGGTTAAATAATTTAGACATATTATGTCTATTTATTTTAATTTTAATCCTTTCATTTCCACGGATTATTTTCTTGGTGGCCGTAGATCAAGAAAAATTCACAAAATTTTCTTTCAAATAATTTTCCAAAGTACTTTCAATCTCATGTCAGACCATCATCAGAGGTTGCATACCTATGGGTCTTTTATGCGTTAACAACGTAAATTAAAAATATTTTTCACCGCTATACAATGGAGGTAACGTATGAGATTTTATATAACACTTTGCTGCTACAAATATTTAAGAAGTTTGTTGCTATACTAGTAGATTTATTTTTGGCCACAATTCTCTTATACAAACGGCTTCCAGATTTTTAAGTTTTTGCTTATTATCATGTAGACGGAACACTGATGTACTTTCGATTAATATCTGTCTAAACTGTGAATGTGGACACGGGATTTCCTTTAAATGTTCTGAGATTGAACTATAGCCGTTCACGTAAAATGTAAGCCTTCTCGCCATCGTCGTTGTTGTAAAACCAATATACATATCATTTTTAATGCAAGCTCCTAAATGATATTTAAATTGATATACGATGTTGGTCTTTTGTAAGATGCTAGTTGACAGAGAAGTGCTGTTATGGATGACTAGGTTGGTTGTATTAAATTTAGTTTAATATATAATTAATTTTATTTATTTATTTTACTTGTATCAGTGGGGGGGATAAGTTAGTGTTTATGAGTCTTTTAGAATCTTTACTCCTGCTTATGCATTTAATTACGGTATAGTAGTTTGATATGTTTAGAGTTATTTGAAGACGTATTATGTTCACTTTTATTGATGTTAATATATTGATAATGGTTTGTTTAATATTTTTTAATTCAGTATAGAAAATTTTCTTTGTTGAAGAGTTTTCTTTTGCACGGTTTCTTAAGTTTCCTATAATAGTTCTTTTGTAATAGATAAGACATTCACTTTTATAGTTGAGAGTGCAGGTGTTAATGCTAGTTGTGTTTTTTTATATGGTGGGGTAGTAAATGTATTATTATTAGTATCTATCAATACAATAAGAAACGGGATTTTATTGTTGTTAAGTTCGTATCTGAAATTAAGTACGGAGATTTTTTTGAAAGTTTTTTGGCGTTCATGTATTTTGTCTAAGTTTTTGACTAAAAAAAGGTGTCATCTCTATATCTGATATATATATATATATATATATATATATATATATATATATATATATATATATATATATAAAGAAGGTGGAGAGATGAGAGTTGTATCACAGTTTAAATGTATATCGCAACATTAAGTGAAAGCCACGGATTCGCACACATGCGTAAAGACATTCATTCAAATTAAAGAACGCATAGCCGTATCAATAACGAGTTCGCACAGACACAATGGCAGACGCAGACCACCAAGATTACAGGCAAAAAAGTAGCCATAACAGTGGCAGCGGTAAGGATAACGCAGGGCCGTAAATCAGGATATAGTCAGCATCACTTCATTTATTCTCAAATGACTTGGCGAAAATCTTCTCCTGTCTTCCATATCTTTTCTTTGCTTTGTTTTTTGTCGTTATTGTTGCCTTTCGTATATCTTTTTTTTTAAATTCCTTTTCCCTTTGTTTTCTCTTCCCCTGACAAAATAATACACACTCTACTCGTTTGCACACTGCTATTGTCCTTTCATCTCACCTACGGTTATTATTTCTCGCCTTCCCTTCCGCTCTTCCTGCAAATACACATTCTTCACTTGTGCACATCTTTTCAAAATCTTTTTCTCTCTGATTCCTGCATCCTAGCCCTCTCTTTCTCTCTTCATATTACCTACTATCTATCTATCTATCTATCTATCTAACACAATCTCTATAAACAGAAAATTCTCTTCATACCCTTTCCATAATTTTGTTTTTCCATTTCTCTCTCTATCTATCTCTCTATCTTTCTGTCTGTCTGTCTGTCTCTCTCTCTCTCTCTCTCTCTCATATATATATATATATATATATATATATATATATATATATATATATATATAATCCTGTCTTCTATCATTCTCTATTTCTCTTTCTGGGTCGAATTTACTTTTTATTTGTTTCTGGCTTATTCTTATTCTCTCTCTCTCTTTCTTTCCATATTTCTCTCTCTCTCTCTCTCTCTCTCTCTCTCTCTCTCTCTCTCTCTCCTCTTCTCTTCTTTTTTGATGTCTCTCTCTATATATGTCTCGGAATATAATTTTCCTCTTGCTTTTCCCCGTTTATTCCTTTCTGTTTTTTCCCCTCTCTCTTTCTGCATCATATTTTCTTCTTCCTTCTCCCTATCTTCCCTTCTGCTTTTTTTATCGCATAGTTTCTCTCTATCTCTCTCTAACTAAATTTGTAATTCTTTCTTCCTTCTCTTTATCTCTTATTTTCTGTTCTGTTTCCCTCTGTCTGTTTGTCTGTCTGTCCCTCTCACTCTCTTTCTCTCTATCTCTTCATCCCTCCCTCGCTCCCCCTCTCTCTTACTCTAGGTCGAATGTTTATCATTCTTTTCCTCTCTCCTCATTTTTTCTCTGTTTCTATTTATATCTATCTCTTGCTTCTTCCCTCCCTCTCTCTCTCCCTCTCTCTTTCTCTCCCCCCCTTGTCTTGGAAGAATTTCCTTCTATCTTTCCCCTGTCATTCTATTATTTCTCTCTCTACCCCTCTTTCTATCTGTCTATCTCTTCCCCCAACTCATGATTTTCCTATTCTACTCACTCTTTCAGTACTTTTTTCATGATGACAAAGCGTTTTTCTTCTTATAATTATTAATGCTTTTCTCTTCTCTTCTCGCAATTATTTTCCCCCCATTTCGTTCCTTCTTTCCCTTCGTCTCTCACAATCAGAATTTAATTCTTGTGGGAGTTCCATTGGCTCTTTTGCTCACTAATTCATTAACTCATATATTTCTTCTTTATTTACTACACGACTTTTTTTTTTCTTTTGTAATATCAATGACAAATGAGAACAACTTACACACTAGGAATGCAATCATTTATTTTGGCTGAGAATCTTTCATCCTGTCTACATGTCGTCCTTTCTTTTCTTCCTCTTCCCCACATATTTCTCTTCCTCCCTCTCTAACTCTACCCCTCTTGTCTTCATCATCTGCAGCTTCCTCCCTCATTTTTACCCTCGTTTTTTTTTTTCTATTATTTCGTCTTTCTGTCGACATTTTCCATTTCTTTCTTTCCAAAAGTTATTTCGCGTTTTCGTTTCTTTAAACTCTTTTCTTGATATTTATTAAGTTCGACTTTGTACGACACAATTTGCAACTGAAGAAATGGAGAAAGGAAGATCGAGTTACGCCAATCTTCCAATCGCGAAGGGCCTGCCTTTCTTATTTCTTATTTCTCGTTTCTTTCTTTCAAAATGAAGTCAAACTTAAATTCAGTCGACATGTTCTATCTGTTACATTTTATATCCCATTTTACAATTTGCGAATACGCATATCGTGATGAAAATGGTGGACGAACTGTCCGAAACGATGCTAGCCTTTTGCTACTGAATCGCTATTACCATGGCAAATGTTCAGGCAACCTATATTCTCTATTCCCATCAGTTTAGAATTTTACAGCGAGGACCCGACATGAAAACGTACACAGGGCTGACTCATCCTCAATCCATTTGTCTTCCATTGGTAATGAGCAAGTTACATTTACACAGACCATTCTGGCACTTTGTGAACCAGACTCCCGAGAAGATATTTTCTAGGTCAGTGTGATTTTAACCTCTTCAAATCTTGTGTCAACCGTTATTTTTCCTACATGAACTTATAATATACACTTCACTTCTTTCATTTAGGCCTTTAAAACAACTTCATTCCATAATACTCTAAATTGCGTGACACCTGGGCCTTGTATTGAGTGAACAATAATCTATCTATCTATCTATCTCGCTCTCTCTTTCTCTCTCTCTCTCTCTCTCTCTCTCTCTCTCTAAAAATATATATATATATATATATTTATTAAAGACATATTTTATGTTTAACGTTGTTATTTTATAGATACAAGTATTTAAGCAAATGCTCTGTTTAAGATAAACAGTATTAAATAACATTTACCGGCCTGAATGTCCGAGAAATTTTCATAGAAAATATTCGTTCTTTGCATTTACAGAGCATTTGCTTAAATACTTGTATCTATAAAATAACAACGTTAAACATAAAATATGTCTTTAATATGAAAATTTCTCGGACATTCAGGCCGGTAAATGTTATTTAATACTGTTTATCATAAACAGAGCATTTGCTTAAATACTTGTAACTATAAAATAACAACGTTAAACATAAAATATGTCTTTAATAAATAAATTGTCGGACCTTGTCCATTTCTTAATATATATATATATATATATATATATATATATATATATATATATATACATAAACTATGAAAAAAAAACCTTGCACCAATAATAAGTGCATATAAGAAAGAAAAATTTAGAAGTATAAGCAGTCATTTGCGGATACTCCCTGACGAGTGGATGGACGGGTCTGTCTACGAAACTCTGGAGTCAGGAATTTGAAGATAACATCAATCAGCTAAGTGACAAACCTTTTACTTGTATTTAATTCTATATATATATATATATAGAGAGAGAGAGTATTATAAAATTCAATTGACATGTTCTCTCTTTTAAATTTTATATTGTATTATCCAATTTTCAAATAACAGGTTGTATATAGTGATGAAAATGGTGGACAAACTGTACGAGGCTCTTTTTTACAGGTACATTCGACCGTCTAAGTTATTATCAAATACTCGGTGTTGTCAGTGTGGTAGAGAAGATTTTGTTAACGAGATCCTGTCATTTTTTTTTAATTACTGTAATAGGAATCAGAATGTAAAAATGAATGCTAAGATATAGCCAAGAAAATTTTGAACAAAATTCTTCTTTAATAAAACCGAACAAAATACGAAATTCAGAAAGTTTATTTACAATGAAGTGAACATTGAAGCCAATACCCAACGACAACGAGTCTGTTTCATGCTTAAATGTAATCGTCAGACCATGTACCTTGTAATTTGGCTCAACTATTTATATATGTTGGTCAATGGGCAGGTCTAATGTATTTTATTCTAACGGTTATTTGGATGGGCGGTTATGTTTTAAATTATTCTAGGGGCGATTAAGTTGATATAATTGTGGATCCGAATGAAGGTTTGTGGCTATTTTATAATGTTTGTTACATTTTTCTCATTATTTGTTATTGTTTAGTTTATGATAGTTTATATTCATATTTATATACGCTTTATCCCTGATAATAAGCAGTTTAAACCATAAATATACCATAAATTTAAAACTTGACCTACCAACGCTTTATTTTTTAAAATCTAATGAACGCTATATTTTTAAAAAAATAAATAAACAAACGCACGGCGTTTGGTGTGATAGAAAGCGAGGATGAGGATGAGAAGAAGAAGAAGAAGAAGAAGAACAACAACAACAACAACAACAACAACAACACGTACAAGAACAAAAACAAGAACAAGAACAACAAAAGGTAAAGGTATTATAAATGTATAGGTGGGGGTTAATTGAAATGTACATTGTTTTTTGTCTTTTTAATGTACTTTTTTTTAAAAAAGACAAGGTAAAGTATATATATATATACTAGCAGTAGATCCCGGCGTTGCCCGGGGATGTAACAGTAAGAGATAGATCAAGTATCGACCATCATAAAGACTGAAAAATAAAATTGACAAAGATTATTGGTTAAGGTTGACGGACACGCATGTCTTAATTAGTTTTTTTTTTTTTTTACAAATTGGTCAAACCCAAATTCAAACAAAAACATTGTTTACAATCGTTATGAGTCTATCGATTGGTGAATAGAATTTTATTATAAACAATTGTCTTGTAAATGGATTTTTTAAAGCATTCTGAATGTAAATAAAGAAAAAAGTGTGCAAGACAATAAGAAATACTACCTGCCGAAAAAAAGTGGATGTTTTCGTCAAGTTCGGCGTCTTTTTCATCATGCTATGCTCTTTTGTTTACATTTTCGTGGGTGAGTTGTCCCCCTTTCATTCTCACGATGTGTCTTAATCGTGTTTTCAAATTGATTTTCTTAAAAAAACAACTGTATTTTTCCCATTTTCGGAGCCGTTAGAACCACCAAAAGGTAATTTTATGTAGTCCTGTGAAGTTTTGTTGAAATCGGCTAAAAATTGTAGGAAATTCGATCCAACATATAAACGTTACAGACACACACACAACCTGCGTTTTATAATAAGTAAGATATATATATATATATATATATATATATATAGTATTATTAAATTCCACCGATATGTTCTATCTGTTAAATATTATTGCATTTTCCAATTTTTGAATAAAATGTTTATTTATGTATGTCTTGCTGAAAATTGTGGACAAACTGACCGAATTTTCTTTTGTGTTCACGTATTTTTAAACCTCTTAGTTATTATCAAGTATTACATGTTGTGGGTGTGGTAAAGAAGATTTTGTTAGCTACGTCCTGTCATTTTTAGAGCGCCGTAAGTGGAATCAAGATGTCATGCCAGAATATAGCCAACAAATCTTGAACAATACAGAACAAACCATTAAGTTGATCAAAATGAAAAACTTCATACTTAAACACAATCTTCAGACCACCACTCTCTCTCTCTCTCTCTCTCTCTCTCTCTCTCTCTATCTATCTATATATATATATATATATATATATATATATATATGAAAGTATATAAATATAAATAAATATATATATGTATAATTATTTATATATTATATGCGGTATATTATTAGAAAGCGCTCAATATCAGAGATAGAGTTAACATATTTGGTTGGATAGATGTGAGTTTGTCTGACGATCGCTAAAGCGTGAAACCCAGGGTCACAAACTCACATCTATCCAACCAAATATATATATATATATATATATATTTCGGTCGGGTCGTGGGACCATTGACATAATATTTTCTCTTCAAGTTGCAGAGATGGTTCGCGAGAAAAACCAAGAGTAGTACGTGGTGTTTTTGGACTTGGAGAAGACCTTTGACACTGTGAATCGATAGGCTCTTTGGCAAGTCTTGAGGAAACCCGGCATCCTAGAAAACATGCTAAAGGTGATCATATTTCATGAAGGAATGAAAGCTAATATTGTGTCTGATGGTATGATGTCAGAATTCTTTACTGTCACGAACGGCACCAAGCAAGGGTGTATCACGGCCCCTGTCCTTTTTGCACTTTTCTTCTAGGTGATGCTGAAATACACATTCGCAGACACAGGGGGTGGCATTAAGTTTCAATTTCAAACAATTGGTGAACTCTTTAATCATCAGCGCTTCAAAGCCAAGACCGACCTTTGTACACAAATTATCTGTGATTTGTTGTTTGCTGATGCTTCTGCTCTTGTAGTGGCATCATTTGAGGAGGCTCTACGTCTACTAAATCGTTTCTCTGCTGCATGTAAAGCCTTTGGTCTGAAATAGTGCGCCAACCTTGTCCCACCCTGAAGTAATTCCGTGGTGTGCAGCAAAAACCACCAGTTTACAAATTTCCAGAGACCACTGAAAGTAAAAAACAAATCCCTAAGCTATATAAAGTCTTTCACCTATCTTGGTAGCAAAGTCAACTACAGTGGATCTTCCGATGATGAAATCATGCATCGGATTGCTAAGGCTACCAGTGCTTTCGGCAAACTTCGTCATCGCATGTGGGATGAGCGGGGTATC